CCTCCACAGGTTCCCTCACATGGCTGGTTCTTCCAGTGCTGAGCACATTTGGTCCTGGTGCGGGAGATGCTTATAAAGGGAACTGTGGCGTGCTGGCTCAATCTTTTTCTTTTGGAACTAGACAGATCTGGCTGCATCCCAACTCTGCCACTTGCTGCCTGACCTCGGGCTAACTGTTTAATCTCTGTAAATTTAACACTCCTTTTTGATGAACAAGTAAATGGATACTTCACAAGATTTCAGGGAGGATTTGAAATAACTATGTAACTAAGGCACATAGAAAGAGACTGCATCAGCAAAGCAAGGGCACTGTCTCTCTCCTGCAGTGCTCCTTGTGCCTGGAGCGCGCTATGGTGTTTGCTGAATGGATATGGTCAGGGTCCAACCAGTAGCAGCTATGATGGCTTTCAATGCTACGTGGTGATTCTGTACCCCGGGGGGAACAGCAACAACAAAATTAATGTGTTGCAGTCCCCATCCTTCAAAATATGTATACATATACAAATATTTCTCAATGACCAAAGAAATCTAGAGTCTTTAAATCGGTGTCATAACCTATAATAGAAATGCATAGTATAAGTTAGTGGTACACTTCAACATAGCCAATATAATTTTCAAAGGAGTCTTCTTGTACCTCACTCCTAATTGCCTCTCTGATGGCTAAATAGGACAATGAAATGGATTTGATAGCGCCTGCTACGAACAGACCTTGTAGAAGACAGTGGCATGGATAGCCATGTTGAGAACAGACCTTCTCACTAGTCTGTAAAACTCACATTCACAGTCTCAGTTATGAGACAGAAGGGTTAGTTCTCCTTCTTCTAGATATGATGAGTGCACTCAAGGTAAGACATCTCTTAAAGTAGTGTGTTTATATGTGTGTTTGCATGTGTGTGCATATGTGTATGTCTGTGTGTGTGCATGCATGCGTGTGTGTATGCATACATACGTGTGTGTGCTCCTGTGTATGTCTGTGTGTGTGCATGCACGCATGCATTCATGTGTGTGCATGGGCATTCTGTTTGTGTGTACATGTGTGTACACATGTGTGTCTGTGTGTACGTGCATGCATACATGTGTGTGCATGTGTGTGCATGTCTGTTTGTGTGTACATACACATGAGTGTGTGTATGTGCATGCAGACATGTGCATGCTCATTTGCATGTCTGTGTGTGTGCATGTGTGTATGTCTGTGTGTGTACAAGTATTGTGGTATGTGTGTGCACACATGTACTATTAAGACTCCAGGAAAGACTAGAAGAAATGAGTGACTGCACTGAAGAAGAGAAACACAACCAGAGTTCATCCTCCTGGACGGTGCTGAGCACCTCGAAAGGAGGCAGACTGTCAGCGTCCTCGAAGTCTTCCACCGCTGGCATCTCCGTTCCATTAGCTTTTGCTAGTTCTCCAGGAGGGCCGCTGAACCTTCTCTAAGCACTCGATCTTTCGTGGAGAGCCTGGCTATTCCTTTCCCTTCCTCTCTTCTCCTCTGTGACTCCCTCCGTTCATTTTTCTCCATGTCAGCTTCTCACACTCACCCTTCTGTTGGCAGCCCGTCTATCACGCTGCCCCTTAGGGACCTTCCGACGCACGCTCTCATGAGCTTAACACCACGGGCCCTGTGTTTGCTTTTCCCCCTGCTTATGGCATCTCTCACAAGATGTGTCCTTTCTAAACACAGTTCTTAAGACAGCAGTGCTATTATGATACAGTTAAGTAAATTCCATAAAAATGTCTCATTCACATTTTGCTGATAAAAAGTCCCAAGTCATTGACCTCTTGGAGAATTTCTTGGTAAACTACCTCATTTAAATTATGCTTAATACTAATCTACATGCTTGAAATTTGCTATGAGGGGAGAAGATTTCTCAACACACACACACACACACAGGATTCACACACACACACACACACACACACACACACACACACACACCATCACCAACCAAACAACAACAAAAACAGAATGTGAAAGGCGGTGTTCTGCTAATTACTTGACTTTGCATATCTATAATGTAGACATTGCCAAACATCATGTGGTAGTCTATAAATATATAGAATACTTTTTCAGTAAAGACGTATTCAATGTAAAAGTGTAGGCAATATATTCTCTGAATCTGTGAAGTTTCTTTCTTTTTATCATTTCTTTCTTTTCTTTCTTTGTGTGTGGCAGGTTGGTGGACAGGGTCTCAGATCTGGTCTGGAGCTCACTATGTAGACAAGACTGGCCTCAAACTCCCTGAGATTTTCCCGTGTCTGTCTTTCAGATGCTGAGATGAAAGGTGTATGCCGTCATGCCCAACTGTATCTGATTAATGTGGTGGTTTAAATAAGAATGCCCCCCACAGATTCAGATGTTTGGATGCTTGGTCCTCTGTTTGTGGGAATGCTTGGGAAGGATTGGGAGGTGTGGTTTTGTTGCAGGAGGTGTTTCTCTGTCCTTTCTCTCTCTGTCCCTGTCTCTGTCTCTGTCCCTGTCTCTGTCACTCCCCTGCTCTGTGTCTGCTGCCTGCCACTATGCTTTCCACGGTTATATTCATGGGCTCAGTCTCTGAAACTGTAAGCCAGGCCCCAATTCAATACTTTCTTGTGTAACCTACCTTGGTTATGGTGTCTCTTCACAGCAATAGAACAGTAACTAAGATAGAGCTGGTTGTTTGTTTCCAAGATCTTCAGAGTTTACTTAATAGATTTCCCTCGCTTCCTATCTTCCTTATTCCCTCTCCTCCCTCCCTCCCCACCTCCTTCATTCCATCCTCATTTTCTTCCTTCTGAAGTTAATTCTACAAGCATCTGTGCACATTTTCCATGCACCACGCCCAGGGCTGGGTTCTAGGTGCACAGGACACAACAGTGGTCCTTGCCACGTGTGACTACTGGTGACAGAAGAAGGCTGTTGGGTAGCAGGTGACAAAGAGATGTGTGATTCTAGCCTTCAGTAGATGCTGTGATGAATTGTCTGGAGGGGAAACCACAGCAGGGATCTGCTGAGAGGGAACAGGAGGGAGGGACATCACAGGCAGAGGAAGCCACAAGAAGCTGAGGTAAAAACCCATGGGCTGTGCCAACCAGCGGAGGCGCAAGGCCTCTGGTACACAGAGGCACCAGACACAAGTCCCTGCGGGGCCTTGGGCTCCACTCCAGATGTGGAAAGGAGCTGTACCCTTGCTTCACCTTTTTTTGTATTTGCAAATACTTTGATTACTAAATGAATGGCAGATTTAAGAGGCTGTAAGAAGGGACCAGTTAGGAAGTAGGACCAGTAGGATATTATCCATAGAGAAACTTTTATTTTCAAGGACTCTTGAAAAATCAAGTAGTAGAGACTTCATGTGAGAGTATGCCCAGTAACTGGGGAACAGGGAGCTTGTTCTCACACCACTTGTAACTGCCTGGTATTATATTGTTTATTTGTTTACATGCTGGTTCCTCTGTTTCATGTCTGTCTCTCCTACTGAAATGGTATTTGGCAGAGGAACTGCTCCTAGTCCACTGTGGATTGCTGGTAAATAGTTACTAAATGAATTGTTGAATTAAAAGGCGGAGGAATGTCTGGCTTGAACATGAGCGGGCATGATGGAAACTGACATCTATGTCTGAGAAGAGAGTGGTGGTCTCAGGCCATAGATACTACTGTTCACCATTTTGTTTTGTCCTCTTCTCTAGGGCTATTTTTAACTTCCACAAACCTAGCCCCCAATTACTCCACCACTGCTGGCTTATGAGGCCTCCCAAAACAACTCTAATTGGTTTTTAGGTGATGGATTTGAGAGGAATGGATAGTTGCTTTTTTTTTTCTACAATAAAGAAAGAAAATGGGCTTTTGTGGAAGCCCCAAATGTGCTATTTCCCCAACAGTGATGGTAATTCAAGCATCCTCCTCTATCTTGGAGCTCCTCAGGCTCATTAAAGTCCAGAATGAAGCCCAGCAAACTCTGGGCTCAGCCACCTCCTAGAGAGAATGGAGTGAGGGCTAGTCTTTTGGTACCCTACTTCCTCCGAGTTTACCCCAAGGAGCTCAACTCCAGTGTGATCCATGGCAGTCAGGGAGGCCCCCGGAAATTTCCATGGTTTCCTCTCTGCACTTCCATCTCTCCCTCTTCCTTGACTATTTTTGAAACCTCTTCCACAAAGTGTTTTAAAAACGGAAATAAGCTGACCATGTAAGTCTCAGCACATTTCACCAGGAATGCTACCTCCCTGCCACCGGGCTTTGAAAAGGGTTGAGGTGGATGAGGTGGATGTGGTCGTTGTTGTCATGGAGATCTCGGTAGTGAGCCAAGAAGCCAGAGAGAAGGTGATGCTCCGACACGCTTGAGACCCCTCCGCTTTGCTCAGGGTGAGCCCTGCTTAGGTCCAGCTGGGTGAGCACGAGCACAGACTGGAAACCTGAGGTCTGTCCCCCACAGCTCCCAACTCAGGACCTCTGTCTCGTGTAATTTATGGAATGCTGGTACTTTTTGCCTTCTAATATGGGTTCAACTCTTACATACAAAGGCATGTTTTTCCCCCCAAGGCTCTTTAATGAAGGTTATACAGTTGTCTTCAAGGGAAGTCAAAGGTGGTGTTTGACTATTTACTACTGACCGTATATATATATATATAACACGTGCCTCACCTTCACAGGTGGTGCTATAATTTGAAGTTCTGGGAGGACAACCTGAAGGTGCATAGAGATTTCAAACATCAAAATAGAAAATCCCCCCAAATTGTTCACACATGTGAGAGATTAGTCAGCCATACTCAGGGCTCGCTGAAACTATTAGTCAGCCAAAAATTTTGTCATGATTGAGTAGCTGCGAACTAAAAACTTACTCCCCTTCTCAATGCCATTTTGTTATACATTTTAAATGAAGAAATAAATCTGTGGTTCAACAGGAGAAGCTTGTTGGCAGTGTACTAGAATACCTATTCACATATTTCATCACTCCATTTTTTTTTCAGGCGACTGCACCTGTACTGTGTGCGTACACTAGGAGACAGATTATTAATGGAAATACCTTTGCCGACACCTGCATGCTGTTTTCTTGCATGTTCATAATGGCCTCAGAGATCTTGACATCTATTGGATCCATGACTGACTCAATGTTGAACGGCCCTTCCAGTCGCTCCGCCACCAAAAGCATTGCATCTGGTAAAATACAAGGATGGCATTTATCTTTATATTTGATTGCATATCACATGTAATATAAATTATACATTACATCTTATTATATTACACATCACGATCACTTATTTGAGAACAGGGCCCTCCAGCTTTTCAACGTGCATTCAAACGTTTATAGACAAGTGGCTAAAAAAAAAAAACATTCATTCATAAGGTTTTATATATTCAAATGGAATGGATGACTGAATCTTAAAATCATAATATGCTTTATTTCATTTGAAGATTTAGGATTATTTCACACACATAGAACCGAGTCTGAAACGTAAGAAAAACCAGCCCAAAGGCAATACGTTAAGCATATGTAATTATTCTACATGAAATGAAAACAATGTTTGCTTAGGTATAAGCTACATTTTGACAGAGGGTTTTGATCTCCATTATGGACTGAATCTGAAACCTCTAGATTATGTTTCATGGGTTTATGTCTTAAACAATAGGCCCTAGGGTGGATTGACTGAGAAATGGTCCCTACAGTCTCAGGCATTTAAACACTTGGTCCCTGCACAATTTCAGGGAGGTGCGGCCTTGCTAGAGGAACTATATCACTAGGGGTGTGGGCTTGGAGAGCTCAAGGCCATGCCTTCCGGCCAGTTTGTGCTCTCTACCTCCCACTCGTAGCTGTCACATCTGCTGCTCGTTGCCATGACTCCCTCCCATGATGGACTTCTATCCCTCTGGAATGGGTAAGCCCAGATGAATTCTTCCCTCTACAAATCACTTCCGATTATATTGCTTTATTATAGTAATGGAAAAGAAACTGCTATAGGGCCCCCGCTTGCGGAATCATTCTCAAGGCTGCAGAAGATTTGGGACTTGAGGCTTGGGTGGTGGCAATCGGGTGTCTTGGAGGAATTCTGAGATTTGGAGCTGTAGCCTGACTTCTCTGCCTGCTGTCTGCATGATGCTCCTGTAGCCAGGGGCAGAGCTGTGCCCACGTCTACACATCTTCCCACCACGATGGATGGAAATCCTCCTGAAACCATGAGCGGAGACAAGTTCTTTCTCCCTAAAGTGCTTCTGTCGAGTGTTTGCCCGCGGTGAGGGGGAAAGAGCCTAACACAGCTCCTCTTCAATGGGAAGACGAGAACACTGCAGTGCTGATTGGTGAGCGTGGACACACAGACGTCAAGACCCAGCAGAAGCAATGCTGCCTGTGGGAAGTCTTACTGGATTCTCTGAAGTGGACTGAGTTGGACATGGATAGGAAAGCTGGTTATCATGACATGGAGACATGAGTTTTGTATGTACTGGGAGCCATTCTTGTCCTGTCTTAGCTAGCTGGAAGGCCACAAGTAAGGGACATACATCAAAGAGATTGTTGAAATGGTGTCTGTGTCTGTGCTCACGGGACAGGTGTCTACTCCTATATTACCAGGCTCTCTGCCCAACTTCCATTCTTGACAATTTGGTAATCCATGTCCTATATGGGATGTGGAACAGACATTTTTCTGATGGTGAGAATGTGGTTGTGGTGGGTGGGCTATGCCTTGCATGACTGAAGAACTAATTAGCTACGTGTGATTTAACATAACCATTCCAGGCCAACAGCTGCCACCTTTAACTGCAGAAAGCAGACTTTTAACTTACACACTCAAATTGTTTAGTTGCTTAAGCTCTTAAAAACTAATCTTAAAAAGTTTCCCTCTTCCAGAACAATATACATTTGTTATAGAATGCTCACAAAAAGCAGAAAAGGAAACAAAGAAGACTAATAGGCCCATAACCCCACTTCCCAGAACAATACTGTGAACACTGTGGTAGATGCCCTATTTTTTTCCTTTGCACATGAATATTTTAAACATGCAATGAAATATATTGTGTATATATCATATAATCTGCTTTCTAAATGTAATATATTATTAATGTAAAATGCTGTTTATAGTTAGCTGTTTTACAGCAGTTATGTGAGGAAACCAAATTTTATTTTTACTACATACCCAACCATGTTCAACCCAAGTCTAACATCAAAACATTTTCGGGTTATAAAGCAGCTATGAGTTAGACTGGTGAGAAACATTTTAAGAGGACTTTCTATTAAATATAGAAGATACAGAACTGTCTGGAAAGTAAAGACTCATGTTTTTAAAGAGTCCCAGGCTTTGAAAACAGTATCTACTCTTTTTATTCCTGCCAGATGTCATAAGAGAGCCCCATTGTATTCCTTGGAGAATGGAGAAGAGTTAACCCCTTCAGGCCAGAATTGGGAGCCATGACACTCAGCTCCAGACACTCCCACCTGATCCTCACAGGTGCAGATGGACCCACAAAAATATATGCACGAATGACATCATGAAAAGAAGCCATGTGGGTTTTTCTGACATTTCTCTTAGATAAGGCAGGTTTATCTGTGTATGTCATGGGCGTTTTAACAAAGCAGACATCCCACAAGACCTTAGTGACCTAATTATCAATTGGTGCACCAACACCACTTATCATTGCTGTTTTAGTATGATAGTCATTGTGAAATCCACTTTCTCCTTTACATGTTTGAGGGGTAGCTACGTGTCTGAAAGCTGGTTGTTCCTTTTCTGTCTTTTTATGTGTCTTGTGTGCTTATCAGAAATGAATATCCCTCATCAAAAAACTTATCAGTAGATTTTCTGGTGAAGATTAACTACTCTAGATAGTGAGGACCTGAAAGAAAGTTCTTCCTGCTCTTCCAGAGGACCTGAGTTGGGTTCCTAGCACCCAGGACTACCTATAACTCCAGGCCCAAGGGCTCTGACACCCTCTTCTGTCCTCTTTGAGTATCCATACACATGGCACACCCATCTGCACCTTCACTAAGGTACATACATGTTCAAAATGCATTAAAATCACATTGCTTTTTGTAGTCCTCCTCTTTAACTTCACCTGAAACTCTTCCAAGTTCATGTCCCTCCTTTTTCAGTATGTATGGGTGTTTTGCTCACATTAATTTCTGTGAGCTTCAAGTCTACCTGGTGCCCATGAAGGCCGGAGAGTTCTAGATTCAATGAGGGATCGTGTTTCAAACACTAACATGGAGAATGACAGAGGAAGAGTGCACAAATTGGCTCCTAGCCTTCACATGAGCCCACATCGGTGAGGGCACCCACAAATTCATCCACACACCACACACACACCCTAAAATTAATTCAACCGAGAATAACTCCAGAAATTCTTATGAATGTCAATATTCAAAGCAAAATCATATGCGACAAACGTGCAACATTGCATTCCTTTCACTAAAAATGCAGAAATGTTCACATTAGTGTAAAACTCTAGGCAATATGACATGTGAAGCATTGATGTAAAGTCACACATACTCCTGCCATCCTCACACATAGGTTTTGATAAGAACGGGGCAGAGCCAGAGAAGCCAGGAGACAAGGAGGACCCTACGAGAGGCATACATGGTCCCCTGGAGAAGGGGAAGGAGACAAGATCTCCTGAGCTAATTGGGAGCATGGGGAGAGGGAATTAGGAGAAAGAGAAGGGGAGAAGAGGAGGGGAGAGGAGGACATGAGGGAGCAGGAAGATTGAGTCAGGGGAAGAACAGAGGAGAGCAAGAAAAGAGATACCATAATAGAGGGAGCCATTACAGGTTTAAAGAAAAATCTGGCACTAAGGAAATGTCCAGAGATCTACAAGGATGACCCCAACTAAGAATCTAAGCAATAGTGGAGAGGCTGCCTTAAATGCCCTTCCCCGATAATGAGACTGATGACTTCCTTATATGACATCCTAGAGTCTTCATCCAGTAGCTGATGGAAGCAGAAGCAGACACCCACAACTAAACACCCATATGAACTCTGGAACCCAGTTGCAGAGAGGGAGGAGTCATGAGCAAAGGAGTCAAGACCAGGCTGAAGAAACCCACAGAAAACAGCTGACCTGAACAAGGGGGAGCTCTTGGATCCCAGACTGACAGCTGGGAAACCAGCATAGGACTGATCCAGACCCCCTGAACGTGGATGTCAGTTTGGAGTCTGGGGTAATCTATGGGGTCTCTGCTAGTGGATCAGCATTTATCCCTGGGAGGGGGGAAGTGTCTAGGCCCTGCTCCAAATGATATGACAGTCTTTGAAAAATCCCACATAGAAGGCCTCATCCTCCCTGGGGAGCAGAAAGGGGCTGGGATAGGGGGTTGGTGGCAGGCAGGGGAAGAGGGGAAGGAGAGGGAACTTGGATTGACATGTAAAACAAGCTTATTTTTAATTTAAATAAAAAAAGAAAAAAATAAATTAAAAAAAAGAACGGGGCAGAGCTGCAGGCATCGGGTGGATGTGAGGGGCTGCTATGTAGTTTGTAAATACAAGGAAGTTCACAGGACAGACGAGCCTCAGCCAAAGCTCCCAGTGGATATCTGCACACATGAACAGCAATGGTGATATGTTATTTATGATTTATTAAAGCTTGCCTGAGGGTTCAGGATCAAAGCTAGCCACAAGCCATAGAGGTCAGGCAATGGTGATACACACCTTTAATCCCAGTGGCCATACTAGCAAGCCATAGAGCCAGGCAGTGGTGGCACACAGCTTTAATCCCAGGGCTCAGAAGACAGGGAGATGGATCTCTATGAGTTCAAGGTCACCCTGGCCTACACAAGAGTGAAGAGTAACGGAGCTCACGCCTCTGACCCCAGCACTTGGGATCACAGGCCTTTAATCCCAGCACTGGGGAGGTGGAGTCAGGAGTGATATGGCTGGGCAGAGAGAGGATTATAAGGTGGAAAGAGAGCTTTTGCCTCTGAGAATTCGTGGAGACAGGACCACCATTTCACCTTGGTAGAGGTGAGATCTACTGGCTTGGCTGCTTTGCTTCTCTGATCTGCAGCTTGAAGCTTGAACCCTGATATCTGTCTCGGGTCTTTATTTTTCGTGTTACGTACCAGTGTTTGCATCTTCAACCAAGCTTGTTGTTGTTGCTGTTGTTGTTATAGATACACAACACTCGGGAGGAGGAAGCATCCCTGTGATTCTTAACTCTTCCCTTGGAGCTGT